CCCACTTTCCGTACTACAAGACATCCGACTCAAACCAAAATCAAGCTCAACATCTGATTCGTCTTATCTATTCTCAACAGAACACCTTTCCACATTTCAATCACTTCATAAACACTCTTAACAAAACCATCAATAGTCCTGATCATTCTCAAACGCGAAGACAAAGCTTAGCAGTAGATCTCAACGACTTAGACATCTTTGGAAGGAATATGAATTTGTCCTCGATTAACTTGAAAGCCGTCGGTCGAAGACTTATAAGATGGATCGTTAGGCACTACCCAGTCATCATATCGACTCTAGTCATCTTCGCTTCTTTTGTGTTGGGTCTAAACTTTGGACCTCGACTTTTACATCATAAAACTTCCTCGCCAACTTTGTCAACCCCATCTCCTGGAAGCATTCAAAGCCCAGCTCCTCTACCGGAGCATCTTGTTCCATACATCTACCGAGCAAGTTGGTCGAACCTAGAGGCCAATATCCCTCCCATTGAATTCGATGTCCTCGAACCTCTCGATGCCAATGACGGGAAAGGAAGTGGTTGGACGGTTGTATTCATTCACGGTCTTGGTTCTCCCGATTCATCTCACGGACACCAATGGCGAGAAACATTCTTATCTACTCTTCGACGACCCCTCGACTCTCAAAGCATTGGAAACTTGACGGGTCTTAGGTTCATACTCCCTAAAGCTCCCATCATTCCAATCACTGTCTATTCAGATCAACCAAATGGAGGAGCGCGACCTGGATGGTTCAACATCAATGACTGGAGGGACTTGAACTATCTTGAAGATGAGGATGGATTGAGACGAAGCTGTATTCAGATCTCTACCATTATTGCTGAGCAAGTCAGAGAATCAAAGATGCAAATGAACAAGACTATCATCGCAGGCTTCAGTCAAGGTAGGTAGACATTATGATTTCATCCCACTCTGATTTCCGCTTTCAATTTATACGTCAATGAATACTGATATGAATCCTTTTCAAAAATCAAAAATCGAATAGGTGCCGTGATGACCCTCCTTACTAGCTTGACACTGCCAGAGCCCCCCGCTGCAACGTTGATGCTGGTATGTCCTTTTCTCTTGTTGAACGCAAATTTCGAATTTTATATAGGTTCTGACTATTTCTCTTTTCAAAGTCGGGCTATCTACCTCTACCCTTTAGATTACCACTGCTTCTTTCACCAGTTCCTGGGTTTTATCGATCGACTGCTTTCTACTGGATTCATGGAACCACAGACGAAGTATTAACTTACAACGCTGCCAAGTTGGGATTCAACTTCTTACGAAGGATCTCTCAAGAAGCTTTTGGTCGAGCCAAATTCAAAACCATCACTGGATTAGCACATGGCTTTTCAGAGAATGAACAAATAGTAGTAACCAATTGGATTGAAGGAATTGTTGATCAAGATACTAGGGGTGAATTCGATGATTTAGTTGATAATCTGATTCAACCTGAGAACATAATAGATGATCCTCAATATCCAGTTGAACATTTAATATCAACATCATTCACCAAGTCTCCCTTAGATGATTAACAAGTACTATTGGATACGAGACGATCTAGAATTAGCAGTCGAAGTCGAAGGGAACTCAGGCTTTCAACATCTTCGCAGGCAATTGAAGGCAATGAAATCTAATCAGTCCCTTTTCAAGTCTTCTAACACCCCGTGATCTTATGTTATGAGATCTTTCTCCATGATCGCGATATGATGCTGTGATAGACTGTAGAAACGACATATGTTGCGCGAGATATGTGTGTAGATGTGCGAATAGTCAAGAACATAGTAAAGAACATAGAGATGTTTTTTGCTGAGCTCCGGAATTTTTTGAAACTTAACCCAAACCCCTAAACCCCTAACCCCTAAGTTGAAATTGGATGATTATCGTGTCTTTCGAATTCGATTGTATCCGAGAGGCACCCCTAACCCCAACCTTTGTAACATTTCAGCAATCAAGGACTCAAGAGCTGTGTGAGTACGTGAGAATACCGCACGAGATGCGACTCGATCCCACAACATATTTTCTTTGTCACCGCCTGTCTCAGAGTCACAGCATTTTCAACTCAAGGCCCAAAAAACTTAAAGAAACCCTGCTTCCTGCCTGCTTCCTTGCATCTTGATTACCCAATCAAAGTCCATAGGGACTAAGTAAAACACTGGCAAAAACCTCAACTCTTGGAGATCATCATGACTCAAGATTTTCATTTCTCAGTGAATGAAGACCTTAAATCAATGAGCTCAACCAGATAATTCAACCTTGTCTAACCTTGTACTGCTTCATTATGTTTTTCAATTTGTGATGTCCTCACTGGAGTGAGTTCAATAATAGGAAGCTTTGAGTGAATGTGAGTCTTATAAAATCCAAATAATCGGGCTTTATGATAAATTCAAATATCAAACTACTGCTTGCAAAACAAATCGTCACAAATTGTATAGGTGATGTCATATAAAACAATTGAACTTCATGAGACCAGCTAGCAAAGCTCTTTTTGATTTAATAGTAGGCAAATGATATAATTTTTTCTTTACATTTTACCTATACAGCTATCATTGCGCGTGTTGCTGCAATTTCGTCGATAGAGCTACTACAAATCGGGCAACTGAATGAAGTTCTCAATAAAATCTAAAATGAGCAAAAAAAAGATCACAACAAGAAGAGAACATTTTGAGTCAGTTTCACGAATCCAAAGACAGACAAAAAAGCTATGAATCAAAGAAACTTTTGACATACCTTTACACAACTTGTATGAAACTCGTGATTCTCATAACAAGGGAATCTAGAAACTGATCGACCAGATTTGAAGTCTTCATGACAAATCACACAAAGATCAAGTGAATTATGAACTCTATTTGAAAATCTAAGAACTTTTTCATCTAAGTAATCAAATGCTGTTTCAATTATTGATTCATCGTTCTGTTGTTTATTTCTTTGCGATTTCTTCAAGATTTCCAAAGCACTATCACTTGGTCGGTAACTTGAGGTGATACTATTTCTGAATTTGATGGTGTTTTGAAGTAATTTGGCAGCAAAATCAATCGCAGCCATTTGATGTTTCATTGAAATTATTTGATGGTCGTCTGGATTTTGATAATTGACTAATCTGATACTTTCAATTAGTTCGCATAACTGAGTTCGTTTCTCTCTGATAGAGGTTGATTCTTCTTCTTCAATAGCTAAAAGAGTATCATCAAGATCAATCAATTCCTCCCATAATAACAGGCTACTTAGTCCAACCTCAGGTGATTCTGATCTTGCTCTTTTGGACATATCGAATGAATTTTTTGTGAACCAAGATTGATTGAAGTGTTGATGTTGGATATGTGGTGTTGATGTGTGATGGTTAATGATGAAGTTGGTGGTTTGGGTGAGGTCGACCTTGGGAAGTGAAGTCGCGCTTTTATAGACAAGGAATTACCTCAGCACCATTTGACAAATCCTCAGCCACAATTATAATTTTTCAGCATGTTGGTCATCATTTTGATTTATTGCTGAGAATGACTTAAAAACATAAAATTAGTTGTCGAGAGTTCCTACTATCTTCCATCTCTGGATGGATGTCAACATTTTCCAAGCTTCATTCCAGAATCATATCATTAAGCTGAGAGCAAGTCTTTCATCAAACCTGAGAAGACAGCCAATTTTTTGATTGATTTCACCCTGACTCCCAGGTTTTGATAGTCCCATTCATTTAAGACTCAGTCAGCTTGACTAACGCACTTTCCCAAGTCAATGATGTGACTATTTTACTCAGGATGAGCTTTTAATTGAGCTCTATGAGGCGAAGAGAAGATCGGGATAATCAACCCCCCGATTCCGCAAAACCTTTGAAAAGCATGGTTATCATTCTTAGAGATAGCTTCAGCGCAAGAAAAAAAATGAAGCTCCATCATCAGCCTTTCCAATTTTGAGCTTAAAACCTTATCTAATCAATATTTGCTAGTCGATTTTGCGTTCAAAAGCACCGGTTGAGAAGGCGGCAAGGAAAATTCATAATGTCTTTAACTTTCATACTGGGTCAGAAGTTTCTTCACTGCCCTATTCTCCGATAAAAGACATGTCTAAATTATCAATTTTCGGCACGGCGGTGGCCACTCAGGCTCAGCTATGTAGTTGATTGGTCCGAGTCGAAGGGAAATTCAGCACGTTCAATTCGAGACACAGACGTCCAATCGACGAAGCTGCGAAGGCAGCCTAGCTATGTAGCAGCCGCACGCCAAGGCCCAAACTTGACAACCTTCGCCGCATTTTGATTTTATTTCGAGTATCGTGATTTGGTTTCAAGCAAACATCTGCGGCTGCTTCACTTGCTCAGCGAGGCTCAGCGAGAATGTGAATGTAATGGCTGGTACCTATTTTTTCAATGATTTCATGATCGAAGCTACATTATGCATATACATTTCAAAGATGTTAACCATTTACATGCATGTGTTGCCAAGGATGAAGCGCCGCCCAATCGATGATGTTTCCGAAGTTGACGAGGTCCTCTCGTTGTCCGGCCAGCTTAAAGTGCAGCTCACAACGAGAGGACGTTCTGTGATGTTGGTGGATGTTTATTTTAGCCTTGCCCAAAGCCTCCGCATCTTGTATGTCCGGCGCCTGGCAAATCAGTCATGCTGCTCTCACTCCCTCAAAATCACATTTGCACAGATCACCATGGTATCAATCTAATCTCCTCAAGAAAGTTGAAACAAAAGCATAGAGAAGTTCACGAACAAATAGTTATTTCAAAGATACACAATTGACCTACACATGTGTCGCCAAGGATGAGGCGATGAGGCTCCGCCCAATCCACGATCTTCCAGTGATCACTGATGAGTGAACCCGGCTACGCGGCCTCGCCCAAGGCTTCTTCACACTCTACATTTTGTAAGTGTACAAATGTGTTTAACTTTTGCGGGCAAACCTCGGTCAAGCTTTCTGGAATCGACGACATAACGTTCCGCAAATTGATCCTCGTCTCGACACGGCTCCTTTGAAATCTCGTCTGCACATATCACCATGTTATCATTGCAATCTCCTCACAAGCTTGTTATTATATTTATCGCAATACTTATCACACAATTTTCTGTCACGCAGGCGAGTGATAGTACAGCGAGGAATAGTACAGTCTCAGTTCAATGTATGGGCGGATTTTCTTCAAACCCCGTCACACAAAACGCAAGTAAGTAGATCAGTTCAACTATTCTCTAGACCAAACTCTTGTCAGTGTCTTATTCGTGTCTTTCGCTCTCCAAGCTTGCTTGGATAAGGATGATCAGAGATGGGTTTGCCCAAGGGCCCAGTGCGGCAAAGACGGTAAAGTCTTTTTGTTTCGGGATTGATATTTCAAAGTTCGATTATACCAACCTTCTATAAACTCGGTTAAACAACTTCATAGGTCACCTGTATGTATCAATGAAGGGGTGTTTTCACAATGGTGATTTGCGCTCTGGGGCAAGTAATCAACAATGTGCTCAGTATAATAATCAACCCAATTCATTTTACGGTACGTTGTCCCTTTTTCCATCAATTAGTCAGATATGCTTTACAGGTTCCATCCTTCTCAAACTTTTCATGAGTGTTCGATTTTATAGCATGTCAGAATCCGGGGGGTGAAGTTTACCTTTGCCCTTACAACGCGACTGAGGGACAGCCACCTTACATCAGTAAGTCGTCTTTCTTTTTCATCATTCTTGAGCCATGTATTGATCATCTACCTTGGCCTTCTTGATTACCCTCGATAGCTTGTGCAGATTGTGTCAAGTCAGAAGACCAAGTGGCGCCTTCGGGAGGTCCAGGGAGAAGATAGCCAAAGTCATGTGCAACTGTATATATAGATATGTCTTTCAGAATCTTTTCATCGATTCCTTGGAAATGTAAAACATTCTTCATGTTTTGGGATGCAAGGTTTGATTTTCTACGACGAAAATTTTGGTTGATGTTCTGATGTGATTCTTTAGAGAAATGTATGAAAGACCATGTATTCAAATTCCAAACAAAAAGGGACATATCATACTTTGGCTCTGGAGGTCAAAACCAGCAACTCAACCGGAATGCCATCCCTTTTACTGGAATTTCACTCTTGCAAGTTGCTATCATATCTTGAGATCATGAAGCCCTTGAGTCACTCATACTCCACACTCGATAAATCCTTTAACGTTGCATCAGATCATGAGAATGAAGTTCAAGCAGATAGCATCGTGGCTTACTTGGTGGGTTCTCAAGAGATTTTAAGAGAGATACACATAACAGCTCATTCTGACAGTTATCATAAAACCTATCTCCCAACCCAACAAAAAGCATGCTTCATAAGGACTTTAGGTAGCCAAATTGAAGGGCACTTATCAGCTTTGATTCTTCAGGCTCAGCCAACCATTCTTGTAACATACCGTCCTAACAAAGAAACTAAGGCATTTTGTAGTTTTGTTCTCCCTGAAAGAGTTTGAGATCACGCAAAGTCTTAACGTGAGGAAGACTTTAAAGTGATCAGAACAAAACAACAATCTGCGGAGGAGATTGTAACACACAGAAGAGTTTAAGTTCAATAGGGAAGAGGGAACAATATGTTGTGAAGCTTGTACTATATAAGAGATACCCTAAAGAACTGAAAAACAAATCTATAATGCACATTTTAGAGATAAATTGTTCTACGCGTAATGCGCTTTACTGGATCACTTCGTGATCCTGATTCTAAAATTACATCCAAACCCCCGTTTCTGATATGCTGCTAGCAAAGTCTTATAGAAATAGCTTGAAGACTTTTGAATTTGTAACATCTATAACAGTATACCATCAGCTCCTAGGACTGATCCCATCATGGTAATTCTTGAAAACAAAATCAAATATGTCATCTCTCAAATCTCAAACAAATTGATATTTACATAGAATTACACACTGAATCTTTCTCATGTGAACCAAATATATGAAGACATCCTTGATTTCCTATGCGTCCATAATCATTATCACATGATGATCAAAAAAGACCTTCTCATCTCCTCACTCTATCAATCTTCACAATAAAAATTGATCAGACGTTCTCAAATCTTGACTCATCTTCAACAATTCACGATAATGTCGATTCATCTAAAAGATCCACCCACCCATACCCAACAAATCAGCAAAAATTCAATTCAAAAACAGGTTACCGATAATGATGATGATTATCTTTCAGCGGGTTCTTACCATCTCTTCGTAAACCCTACCACCTGTAACTAATTTCATCCATTTCATTGAAATCTCACACCAATTTATTGAATGTACGACTGATCTTAGATTATATAAATCTATAGATCTATCCCAACTTTTTCCTAAAATCCAATCAGCTTCATCTGATGGATAGGTTTCCTAATGATGATCAATCGACAAAAAAGTAAATCTTCAGTTCAAGTGACTAAACTGTACTTATCCTGATCAATCCAAAAAGATATAGATATAGCACTTACTAAATTCTGTTGCATCAAGATCAGTGCTGAATTACAATCTTTTATAGCGTTGTCATCTTGACCTGTTGAGATTTCAATTTCAATTAAGATACGTAGCCATCTTGAATGTAACTCTACATTCACTTTTCCTATCTTTTCGTATATCGATAAAACTTTCTAATGAATCAAACGTTCAATAAACGTTCAATATTTTTGTTATCTTCTTGCGAAATCCTAGACCACATATAATTATGGGAGTCATGAGAAACTGAAGACTCACCCTTAGGACCTGAGTTACAACTTGATGAATCGAAGAAAAATAAATTTCGAAAAGTTGATGAACCAGTACATCTTTAAATAATTGATGAGTTGTCCATAGACTTACCATCAATTGGAAAATTTGCATCATGAACTGTCACATCAGCAATAGTTTCCAACACACTGGTTGTGATATGCCCTTTAACGCCAGCCATCTCTTCTAAACTCTGTAATCAATGCCCCCCCAAAAATTAGATTCAGCAAAAAACCGCCTATCAAATCGAATGTTCATAAAGGATTGACAGACACTCAAGAATTCTGCAATCCTATTCCAATCTTGAATTTTCGAAAATCCTTCAAATTCCCAAACACATAAACATGATTCAATAATCAAAAGGTTTTGATTAGAATTAGTTTCAATTGAAATAATTTCAATTTCTTCACAAAGTGTTTTAACTTTTGAAATCAATTCGATTAAGTTTAAAAACCTTTCATGATATTTATCCTAAATTGCTTCCAATTTCAAGCATGTTAGCTTTTCTTGCGTTGCTCAGTTCTAGAATAGAGAAATCCAAACGGACCTGATCATTATCTTTAGATTCGCTTCCTAATGTATTATTAACCGTTCCAGCCAAATGTGCAAATCGACAATGTAGTTCGTGATGAATCATTTCACGACTTTCTTGCATTGTAACCGGAAGCTTTCGAGTTAAATTGATCAAATCACTCGTTAAATCAAAAAATCGTAAACTTAAAGAGTTTGGCCAAGTCGTGGATTTGCCGATACATGTGTTGAAGGCTAAATTAAAGTTCATGAGTGTGTTTATCAGCTTCTTGGATTGTTTCTTTGAACTTACTGAATACATAGAAATTGTACGACTATACCTGTCTTCCATAACCAAGTAGCGTCTTTGGCATTGATTTTTTCAGACCCGTCATTGTATCTCTGCTTTTCTAATATTCTCTGGGCTGTTGGATGTTTTGAGTTTTTGAAGAGAGATAAAAGAAGAAATTTAGATTATTTGATTTTGTAAACAATTATGATGAAAGAAGATTGGATGGACCTAGGCTATAATGCTCGAATGCCTTTTCGGCGTATTCCAAACTTTGAAGGGGTTAAGAATATGTATATATTCATCCTAAAGCATGGTTGCAACCAAAAATTACTTACTCATCTCCAGAACTGGTTTCAATCCTGGCAAGGTCCATGCGTATAAGCCACCTAAAATTCAAAGTAAATTCAAATCTTCTTCAGTAAACAAGATGATGATAGAGTCCAGGTAGACAGCTGACCGTAGTAAGATGATTGGATCCAAGCCTTCTATAGGAGAGCTCCTTGCGATAGAATCGCCCGAAATCAGCGATAACAATTCTTGAAAGATGAAATTCAATACCTCTTTGAGTCCTCTCTGATCAGCTTGTCGAGCAGCGAATATCATGGTTTGAGGTTTGAAATCGATGCAGCTCATCATTCTCTTGATCGATTCCATGGCTTGAAGTATAATCAAAGAGAAGGTAATGATGGAATTGAAACAAAATGAGGAGATCAGGTTATCAAGGTAGATACGATCAAAATTCTCTGACCTGTTTGTTCATTCCCTAAAGCAGTTTCAATCATGAAATGGATAAAGTTATAGCTAGCCGTCTCTTGAGCTTCAGAAGATAAACCGGACAACAATTTTCTCGCGGAATCATAGTCCCCAGCATTCATAAAACTCAAAGCTCCTTTCCTATCAAGAGATAACAAAAAAGTTGAATCAAATCTGTTCTTGTTTTTGTTCCCAGACCATTACTCTCACCTCGTCAGTTTCCCAAAGGTCAAATCATAAACAGTATGAAACATAGAGTGGGTTCCGATAGTAAACCACCTAGCAGCATTGATGAAATCTTTCGATTCATATGCTTTACTTCCAGAAGACCAGATTAAAGATTGAGTGATAAAAGCTGAATCTGAAGTCAAACGAAATTCGGAATTTTCTATTCATTTATTTTTTGTAAAATTTGATCTGATAAGTATTTCGTAAACTTTAGAAAGATTATGAGTGTCTTTTAGCTTACCCATCATTATTGCATCAGTTATTCTCTGTAGGAAATCTAACCTTTGATCCAAATTCCATGTTGAAGGTATAACACCTTTGTCGGATAGATTAAGATTCTTATAAGACTTTGTAAGATTTGCTCCTACAAATGAAACGATTGCATAAATTGAAGGTCCGCCTAAAGCTTGCTCTGCCGGATCTCTTCGTCCGACGCAAGCAATCAAGATTGATGCATAAACGTCCATTCGATAACTGCAATTCATTATCAATAATGTAGATTGGATTTTCACGGTGCTTCATAAATCATGATTTACTCACTTCTCATTCGAAATCTGATGTGACACAGAATGAAGAATCCCTAAGAGCTTCTTATCGAAGGGTTGCGTTTTCAACACCGCCGAAATAGCTAAAATAATGCGTGTGTTGTCAACGTTAGATTCAATACTGGTATCTATTTTAGTTATGGAAAATTCTATTGACCTGATTTCAGTTCCGGTCCGAATTCTTTTTGTTGTCCCAGTCTGCGAATTTTATGAAGCCACATTTCCTGATCAGGTTTCAATTTCTAAAGAATAAAGTAAATTAGTCCACCAGTACAAATATAAGCACCCAGGAAATATCATATCTTTATCTCACTAAAGCTTCATCAAATGCTCGATCACCTCGTTGACGTGTAACTTCAGCTTCTGAACCTTTTTGATCTTTCGAAATTTCAAAGTAGACAAACGCCAAAGCTTTTATAATCTTCAACCTTAAGTCATCATAAGAGATTCTTTCCAAAATTTGTCCTGGAATGAAACTCTTAGTACCCAATGATTCAATAGATTCTAATGCGAAAGTAAGCCATTGTGATGCTTGGAGATTCATAGATTTTTTGGAAGCCTTCGACTCTTCAATTTTATTATATCCAATTGATGATCGCAGCATCAGATGAGAGAAAGCATAGAGCTTTGAAATAATATTGATTGAATCTTGAAATCCTTTGGGCGAGCTTAACAAATTTGATTTATCAAGCGCTTGTCGAAGGTTAAACATCGTAGCAGTCTCATTACCTGTTGCCCAACTCTGTGAAAGATATACAATGTATGGTTAAAGGTGAAAAAGAAGAATCAAGTTTAAAATCCTCACATAATCAGCCTTGATAGCATAATAATTGATCAGAGTTCGAAGGTATTGATCACTTTCATGGCTAGTTTTCCAATTCTGGGACTCTTTTGCAAGTTTCTCCTCGCACTACATGTCCAAGCAAAAAATCAAACCAATCTTTGGATATTGATTTACTTTGTTTTGTTCAAAATGAGACGAATTCTTGATTGATGGTCAACAAACCTCACAAGCTATATCAATATTACTCGTAGCAGCTTTTAAATCGAATGATGGGAGTAGAGCTTTGACTGTCTTGGTCGTTACATCGATCAAGCGAAGCAGAACTATGAAGAGAAGGCGGCGAAACAACAATCAAATGTAGTTCATTAACCCAATGATAATAGACGTGGGACTTTTACCACTTGGTTCACTAGTGATTGGAGTACCTGCTTGAATAAGTACTGAGGCAAGCCGTTTCACTAACACAACGATCAACCATGATTGTGATAAATCTCACATGGATCGAAAATTTAATATTTTTTTCAGAAATGCTCACTAGATGAATATACCTTTTGGCATTCATGAGTCTTAAAATTGATCGGTTTATTAAATTGATTTTGATTAGGTAAGTTTTGAAAATGCAAAAAGTTTAAAGATTTAAAATAAATTTCTTTAAGCTGGAATTGATTTTTGAACTGTTCATCAATCTGTCTCTTGATTCGACTTGATTGATTCCATAATTCAACACCTCTTCTATCAAGTTGATCTTCCCATTCGATGATGGTTTTCAAGTTTTCATCGATCAAAAGTTCATTTGAATTGGTATTTTGGTTTTCCAATAGATTAAATCGTTTACGAACTTTGATAAATAGTTGATTGAGTTCTATTGAAGTGGAAATTAATGTTGCTAATTTATTTGAGATGGTTGATAGATTGTTTAGATTAGAATTGGATATGTTGAATGATAAAAGTTCATCTCGACTTTGGTTTAAGAGACTGATAAGTTTCATATGAGCCTCTTTAAGACTTTTGGATATTATCAACTTCTCAGTCATCCTTGTGTATCGGTGTTCTGCTGAGCTTGTTTACTTCTTCTCAAAAAAAGGTATCAAAGTTTATAGAATCAAACTGATCAGGTAAATTTCCTACATGGTTGTATGCGTTGACCGTCCAATCCTATCGAAATTTGGCGATCTTTTCGAAAGACGCGTGTACCCGTGCGGTCCTGTCCGCGAGTCTGAAGGACCCGGGCATCACACGACGGGGCCAGGTACGTTCTCGAATCAAGACGTGCATCTCGTGCATCCGTTTGAGATGTTAGAATGTAAACTCATGAAGACTTGCTCAACGGTCTACGGAGTTTGCTTCCAACGATGTCAAACAGAGAAGAAGAATGCTTAAATCAAACCACCAAAGTGCGTCTGTCGTTCCTATTGTATATCGAGTTATCAAAGCAACCATTTTGCGGTAAACTGAATCTTTCACAATTGAACGTTCGCAGATCGAACTGATAGCGGAATCAGACACGGATAAAATCGAATCAAACGAGGAATCACATGAGAATGAGGCCACGATGGTGGATAATCCAGCAACGCCGAGTGTTGATTTGAATCAGAATTCAAAGTGAGCTTCTCCGAAAAGCCTTTAACCAAAAATCATTTCAATAATATCCAAAGAAAACCCTTGCAAAAAAAACTACACTAAAGCATTGTTACTTTTTGTTTTTGAAACACCAGTCAAATGAATTTAAATCAAAATTCACAACCAACTTATCCATTACCTTTCAATGAATTGGTAGAATTGATCAATTCTGGTATAGAATTGAATGAATCTAATTTACCCGGTTATAAAACAATAGCAGATAGATTGAATCCTGAGAAACCTAGTCAACCAGGTTTGGCCAATCAATCTAATTCCGCTTTGAAGCCTTGGCAAATTCATCCACCTTGATCTTTATTCGTTTTAAGCAGTCTATCTTTTGAGCTGTCAAACATATATGTATTTGTATCAATGGAATCATGGCTTGAATTTGTGGGGTTTGTTGATTGTGTACGCCAGGGTCAAGAAATTGGATTAATGTATTTTTTTATTGTAAGTCAATATGCGGCCATTGTAGATTAAGGATGCCTTCTGATTGCAATACATTTAAGCGAACAATATGTTTGACATCTGATGCAATTGGTAGATTTTATTAAATGGATTTTTCAACATGGTTTTGCAAAAATGAAAATGAGAAATGAGAAATGAGAAATGTTGTACGATGCAAATAAGATACAATGCAAAGGAAATGGAAAACAGGGGAAATGAAGACCTCTTTCAAATCCAATCATCGAATTGGAACTGGATTGAAGGTAGAACTTGAAACAGAATTGGGTGAGATCATAAATTGCTCAAAAAATGAACCTAAAGAGGATCATAGAAAGAGGTAGAAAAAGTCAACCTGACAAGATTCTATGGGAGTGTGAATTGAAAAGAAAGACTTACTCAATGCAAGATGGTCATCTAAATCCAAGATTAATGAAACATGTTGGTCTGGTCTCACAACAAGCATACAACCTACATCTGGGTTGATACCGTATTTCTCATAAGCATGACCATGGCCTTCACGATAACTTGCTTCATCTGTGAAGCTGGATTAAAAAAAGCCGCCAATGCTATTAGTTCCGCAAGAAATCGATTTTGTTTTTAAAAATAGTAAGAAAAAGTTGCTTACATTTTCCTGAAAGAACCATATTTATATGGACCTTGAAGAGGCCTTAAGACTAGATGAAATTGACTCAATTCTAAGGCTTCTCTAGGTGAAGATACAATAGTGATACAATCGATAACTGAATCAGAGTCCTCCCTGATAGGAGTAAATCGTTGAATCGGGCTGATTTGGTCGTTAGCTAAAAAGTTGGATAGTCGGTCTAATTTGGTTTTACAAGCTTCATTTCCCAAAATATCACCTGGGAAGATCATGAGTTTCCATTTCGCGTCTGCTGGAATTAAAGCTAATGTATCGAACACATTGGCGTCTGCTAAACAAACTACTCGGCGTGATTGAAGTCTAGTTCCAATTGGTACGAGTTGAGCCAAGTCTGGTTTTGATTGGATGATTAGTTTGGAATCGTTTTCTTTGGTGATGAGTACATTCGATTCATAGTTGACAGTTGTACCACTCGCGAAGTATTTTCCTTTCTCTGAGATTTCACGGAAATCTTCCATGGAAATGCCATCTGGATCTTCTGTACCTTTTGCAGGTTTACCTGAGAATAAACTGGATAACTGATTGTCAAAGAATTTTTGGAGTCATTTCAACATTCTTTATATCGAGAACGAAAAAGTGTCACTGTTGACTTACTTTTTGATCAAATGTGATTAATTCTTGAGCAATTTTAGATCTTTCGAGTTCATAAGTTGCTAAAATCTTAGGATCAGCCTTCTTTTGTAAAACATGAGCCAATTTCCAAGCTAAGTTGTAGGTATCAGCCATCGATGTGCTGTAGCGCAAAGCAAGGGAATAGGTTAGTAAAAAAACAAGTCAAGTACCAAGGTTTCAATTTGTATGATGATGACTCACTTCATTCCTTGACCTGCCTTAGGTGAATGAGTGTGACAAGCATCTCCTGCTATGAAGACTCGATTGTTCCATTGCCAGGCATCGGCAAGTCGTTGTCCAACCTCATAGCAAGTGTACTGGACATTTGATAAAAATAAGAATAAGTACGAGGACAAAAGGGGTGATTCGCGCGGAAAGAATTTACCCATTCAACTTGAGGAACACTAATCATATATGGAGATAAAATCGAATTGGCAACTTGTAATAATTTTTCAGGAGTGATATCGCTTCGATTGGGCCTTTGACCATGAGCAGGCTGAGGTAATTGTACGTAAATTCTAACCATGTCGTCTTCACGTGGAACAGTCATCACAGAACCATTTTCAGCGGAATGCACAGCAGATACCGACCTGATATCAGGACTGTTTCAAGAGGAAGCGAGCAGTGAATATTGGTTAACCCTCAAGATTCCATAGTCTCATGTTGTGCAACTTCCGCTTACAAGTCTGAAACAGGAATTCCATCCATCACCCCCCAGAAGTAATTTAAGCTTTCACCGATTAATTTGAATCCTAGAGCACTCCGAGTCCAAGATCTAGCACCATCAGTACCAATAACAAATTTACATTGAATAGTTTCCAAACTTTCTTCCGCTGGCAAACCATTTGGGTTAGAATCAGCTTCGTCGTCAAATGCATTAGATCTGAAAAGGCCGTCTTGTGTAGAAGGTAAGAATTGGGCAGGTTTAGCTTCAGATTCTGATAGATGTCGTAAGGTCAATGTTATTTGATCTTCGTCTGCGTTAGATAAAGGCGAAGATGTGATAGGTGGTAAATGAATTGAATCAGGACAAATTCCTCTTTCTACCAACACTGAGTTCGGCTTTTCATCGGTATTGATCTGTTTGGATGACATTGACCAATTTCTGATGCTATCCATCAAATGTTTCTCAATTCGACCTTGATGTAAACAAGACGAAACAAAGTTTGAAAGGGTGGGTGGAGTCTGATTTTTCGAAAGTTCAGTGGAATAAATTAGGGTCTCGTTATTTGAATCTCTTAAAATTGTCAAATATTCATCCAACTTACAGCTGCACTTCTTACGGTTCTATTGATGACACCATTTTGGTTGGGTTCCCAATAGCAAAATTCACTATGTTCAATTAACTCGCTCATGATTTGACGACCCATTCCTAAAGCGTGAAAGATCTAAAACAAACAAAATAAGAAACATTGGTGATAAGTTTCAAGAGGATGGATTGGATTGGATTGTAGAAATCGTAAGTAAAGCATTCTCACTTCTATACTTCTAGGATTTAAACCATCGGCTTGACCTGTGTAAATCTAGAGGAAAAACACAGCGAATGATGAGTATGATGTTGGAGTTTGCGGAATAAAATGTTTTGGAGCTTTAAAATTACCTGTGTCGACCTTTTGTCGATTATTCTGATGTTATTGATACCATATTTTGTTAAACAAGCAGCGGCCATTAAGCCTGCTGGGCCCTGAATATATATGTATGATTAATAGTTTTATCAGTGCTATGAAATGGAATAGTGTGAAAATATTGAAAGTCAACCAACAGCTCCAATGATAAGTACGTCCACTTTCGAAACGTCGTCGGCAGAGTGGTTCATCGTAGAAGAATTCATACTTATTATGGTGCTTCTACAATTTTTAAAAATCTTAGATAGAATCCAAAAGTTATAAAAGAGGTAAGGAGTTTTATATAGCTAATTGTAAGTCAAATGATGATAGATCAACTAAAATCAAAAGATGATATTGGATCGAAAAGTAGAAGTAATCTTTTGGAAAAAACGGATGCAGAACGTGTGTGCCGAGGGAAGATGAAAAATTTCTGTCCACAAGATAGAATTCGTGCCATTTTTTTCCTTCAGCCTTTTTTTGAACTTCATTCGGGTGGAGACTTAATGAATCCGATTCGCCTGGTTAAGAAATCTCATCAGGAAAATCGATTTGTAGAAGTGGTCAAGCTAGCTAGTCGATTCGGAGTTATTCTGGTGTGACACCTTGGCAAATTCATTCTTGATTATTTTGCCATTTGATCATGATTTTTCCTCCAGATTCCCTCGACGCGTGTTACAAGACTCTCATGAAGCCCTTTCATGTTGTACGGTGCTGCCCGTGCTCGAAAGTTGAATTGAAGAATACTAAAACACTTGAAAATTTAGCAGAGCAAAATCCAAATTCGTGAACCTGATCGATATCTTGTCAAGAAACAGATGCTAGTCCTCCGAATATGCTTGCGTTGAGCTTATTCTGGAGCTGGTCGTCTTTCGAATACTTTTGAGTCCATATCGAACTAAAATTGGCTTAGAGCTTTAAAAGAACACTTCTCAGATTTGGAATTTGCGAAGCTGTTGGTGGCCATCAGCCAGCTTGATGCGGATTCCTGTCCCGGGGACCCCTTCATTTAACCTCATGACTATGAGTCGACCACGCAAGCTATGACTCAGCGCTAGGACAACCAATCAATGTCAATTTGTTGCTCTGCAGAACACGTATTGTAGACTCTTGACCGGTTCGTCAGAGGGAAACAGGCAATGTCTGACCAATCGAATGGATGGATTATCAGTCCGGCTTCCAAGGGTCGCACTACCGATGGGCCATCATCCGCAGGCCAATTCAAAATAACAAGTGCTCTTTTTTATCATCACAACGTCACATTTATGGAATATGAATGCACAACGTAGGTCGAAAGGAGCTGAAGCCGAACATAGGCGATCGATAGAGAACTTGTATGTAAGAAATAGAAACATACAAACGAGAAAGCTCAATACAATTCCAAGGCTGCAGAGACACCCTGAGACAAAACTACCATGAAAATTGTAGTACTATTAAATCGATTTGTTGACAACTGTGAAATATTTACAAAGAGCTCTTCAAGAAAAATTGACGAGTCAAGGGAACAAACCAAACGGTTTCGAATCTGATATAATGAAATAGTCTTTTCAGTTTGAATTCTGCATGAGGCGTCTACATATCAAAAACTAACAAGGATATCAAGAAAGAGAATTCAAAAGGATCATATAAAAGTGATATGAGCGGTAAGGAAGGAAACTTTGGACGATAGTATGGTCATCTGATTGGAATTGCATTGAATCTAGAGCTTGAAGGAGGATGAGGTGATATCATAAACTGGTCGAAAAAAGAACCTACAAAGAAAGAAGAACAGACAGGAGCGGAAAATCAATAAATGTTTGCCTCATAGTGTTGAATGCTGATGAAGAAATTAAACTTACTCAATTCAGCATGATCACCTAAATCTAAGATTAATGCAACATGCTGATCGGGTCTGATGACAAGCACACAACCTGAATTTGAATTTATACCATATTTCTCGTAAGCATGATCATGGCCATCATGATAGCTTTCATCATCTGTGAAGCTGATTAATCATCAATATCAAAACCATTAGTTTTTCACAAATAGACTGATTCATATCGAACTTTGGTCGTTACATACCATGAAAGTAAAAAACTTACATTTTCAAATAAGAGCCAAATCCATGTTGACCTTGAAGAGGCCTCAAGATTTGATGAAAGTGTTCTAATTCTAATGAGATTCTAGGTGAAGATGCAATAGTGATACAATCAAGAATTGAATCCGATTCATCCCCAACAGGAGTGAATCTTTTGATCGGGCTCTTTTGATCATCAGCTAAAAAGTTGGACAATTTCTCTAATTTAGCTTTGCAGTTTTCATTTCCTTGAATATCACCTGGAAAAATCAGAAGTTTCCATTTCCCATCTGCTGGAATCAACTCTAAGGTATCATAAACTTTTGCGTCTGCTAAACAAACTACTCGATGTGATTGAAGTCTAGTTCCTATTGAAATTTTTTTCGCTAAGTCTGGTTTTGATTTGATCTTGAGATTTGAGTCAGTCTGTTTCACAACGAGTAGATTGTTTTCGTAATTTACGGTAGTACCACTTGTGAAATATTTTCCTCTTTCTAAAATTTCATGAAATTCTTCTAATGATATTCCACTCTCATCTTCTTTATCTTTGGCCGGTTTTCCTGAAAATAAACTAGATAACTGATTTACATAACAAAAAAGACAATCAAAATCGTAGTAGGTTTTTTCAGACAGAGGTTGTCATGACTTACTTTTTGATCAAATATAATCAATTCACGTGCAATCTTTGACCTTTCAGTTTCATAAGTTTCCAAGATCTTCGGATGTGCCTTCTTTTGTAAAACATGGGCCAACTTCCAAGCTAGATTAAACGTGTCAGCCATGGAGGTGCTTTGGAAAAAAAGAAGGCAAGGGACTCGATCAGTAAAAGATCCAACTCAAAGATGATTTCTTGAAAGTTGACCGCATGATTCTGAGATGTGGACTTACTTCATTCCTTGACCTGCCTTGGGTGAATGGGTATGACAAGCATCTCCTGCAATGAAGACACGATTGTTCCACTGCCAAGAATCGGCAAGTCGTTGACCAATTTCGTAACAAGTATACTAAGGATTTGGATGAGAAAATCTGTAAGTATTTGTCGCAAATGCACCATTTCAATTAGACAACATACCCATTCAATTTTCGGTATACGAATGGTGTAAGGAGCTAAGATTGAATTGGCCACTTCTAATAACTTTTCGGGTGTGACATCATTTCGATTGGGCCTTTGACCTTCAGGAGGTTGAGGTAGTTGGATGTAAAGTCGAACCAAATCTTTCTCGCGCGGGATTATCATCACTGACCCATTTTCAGCAGAATGTACAGCGCATCTCATTCTAATGTCCGGACTGTTTTTGAGCAAAATCGATGAAACCCTCATTTAGTTGATGATCTAATTTTAACATTAGAGAACGTTCACTTACAAATTGGTAGCAGGAATTCCATCCAAAACACCCCAAAAATAATTCAAACTTTCACCAATCAATTTTAATCCTAAAGCATTCCTAGTCCAAGATCTGGCTCCATCAGTCCCAATAACGAATTTACATTGAATAGTTTCTAAGCTTTCTTTTATTGGTAAATCATTAAGCGTTGATCCTAAACTCGATTCTTCATCGTCAAAAACATTAGATCTAAAGAGACCATCGTTTGTAGAAGGTAAGAATTGGGCAGGTTGAGCTTCAGATTCTGACAAGTGTCGTAATGTTAATGTGATGTGGTCTTCATCTTCATCTGATAATGGCGAAGATGTAATTGGCGGTAATTCAATCGAATCTGGACAAACTGCTCTTTCTACAATCACTCTTTTTTGATTTTGATCATTTGATTGATTGGAAGAAATTGACCATTTTGATATCTTGTCTATCAAATGTTTCTCAATTCTACCTTGATGTAAACAAGATGAGCGAAATTTCGAAAGGCCGGGTAAAGTCTTGAAAAATTAAAATAATTAAACAATCGAAAATCAGAATCTACATCTTTGGCAATAATTGATATTTCTTCGTACTTACAGCTGGACTTCTTGACGCTCTTTTAATTTCGCCACTTTCATTTGGTTCCCAATAACAAACTTCACCAAATACATTTATTTCCCTTATAATTTCAGAACCCATACCCAGAGCATGAAAAATCTAAGAAAAATTAATCAAGAATGACCATGAGCAAGTTTTTCCGAGTCATTGTGTTCATTACCATACTCATTCAATGTGAAATACTCACTTCTAAACTTCTCGCATTCAATCCATCAGCTTGACCTGTATAAATCTAAAATATAAATAATTGAGGAAATTAATCATCGTTAGTATCTTATTTGAAGCTTGTGAAATAAATGATTTCGGAACTATCGAAAATACCTTTGTAGATCTTTTATCAACAATTCTGATATTGTTGATCCCATATTTAGTCAAGCAAGCAGCAGCCATCAAACCTGCTGGTCCCTATATATCAGAAATAAATAACTCAAGATTAAAAATGAAGCGAAAGGATTCGATTATGAAAAGTTTAGAATCAACTGACTGCTCCAATGATGAGCACATCCACTTTTGAAACATTGGAATCAGAGTTCATACTCGTGCAAGAAGTCATAATTATTGAGTCCTTCGGTTCGTTCTTTGTAAAAATGAAAAATGCGTTTGATAGAACTGGAAGATAAGAATCGTTAAAAGTTGAAAAAATTATAACAACACCCAATTAAAACGAACGAGTCGATGAGACGAAAAGGATCTCCTTAAACGTATAAGCAATGGTCGATACGATATGATTTTCTAAACTCTAATATTTGACTTTCAAGCTTATTTTATTCACTCGGTGGTCTACGTGCTCGAACCTGATGTTGTGAAAATGTGAAGTGGAGATGGTTATATATATGGGCGCTGGCCATATAGCACCGCCACTGGTATTGATAGTGACGGAAGTATTTTTGCGAATAAGAATTTGTTCAGCTTTGCTCAACTTTCAAGAATCGATCGAACGATTTCACATATTTCAAATCTTCAAGTGACCAATGCTGACTAATGATATCAAATTTTCTAGACTTAGAGTTGCTGAGAACTTGATGAACGGATTTGGAGTTAGAATTACATCCTTGCTAAACCTTGCTAAACACCCTCCGTTCTAAAACATCGATCACCAAGGCTTTCGTCGCTTGGAAAAAGTCTTTTGAAAGACCTCATCAGATTGGTTTACCTGAGCTTCACAGTTCAATTTATGTAGCCAAACTCCTCTTCTATCAACAGAGTGAACATCGACTTCATCAATCGGATTTTGTTTGTTTGATTGTCTCGTTCCAAGCTTTTCAACACGATCACACAGCCACTATGCATATCAAGCAAACATCCGTTCTCTGATCTTTGTTTAACAAAATTACTCCCAGCAAGTATGGAAGAGGGGATGCATTGAGATTGAATGTACCGTGGATGGTCGACGGAGTCCGAGAGCGACGGAGCCATAACACTACAAAAAACATGTACGGTACATCAACCTACAGCAACCTACCCGATCCGTGTGCACGCCGTACGGAAGTCATGTGATTTTCCCCGCATTCGGAATCAAAATTCCCCGCGGAAAATCAATTTTTTCTTGCAGTGTAAGATCACTGGAGATCTGGATTGCTGCGTGTGGTGCAAGAGACCGGGGATGAACTCCGAGTCTCCCATGAATCCTCACCCCTGTCGAACTGGCTGCTAGTCCCTTAGAGTCCGTTCCTGTCTTTCACAGGCTTTCACTCACATGATTTCAAATATATCTTTAGATTATGTTATACATATTTACAAAGATCTCAAATGTTTGCAAATATGTTTACAAATCATACTTACACTTGTATGTATTATTGGAATCAAATTGTTAATGGAAATAATCATCATAAAATATTATTACATAACAAATTATGTTGATGTTTCTTCATACATCTGACATAACCCATATATCATTTTATGGACAGCCTTTGGTATGGGTTTTGGTAGAGTATGTGCTATCACAATGGGCTTCTGGGCTAAAAAGTGAAAATGATGCACCAAAAAAGCATGGGTTAGGCCAGAGTATGTGTTACAAGGGGTATGAATTATATCAGAGTTGACTGTAGTTAGTGCCCTTGTCACACTGCAGGAATTATTATGTTTGAGACCCGATTGAGCAAAGTTGTGGTGTCTGAGTCCACAATAAGTCTCAATTTTTTGATTGGAACCTATTAAAGGCAAGGGGGGACCTTGTATTTTAATAGGTTTCAATCCAAATTTGAAACTTATTGTGAACTCTGTCACCACATTAAGTTTCACATATGATTTAACCTAATAGATGCCTGTGGTGTCACATAATTTAAAGTATTATCAGTCACTCTTGAAACCTAGAAATTGGTCTTGTATAGAGCTATGCTCTCTAACACCCTGGACCAGAACCCTTACACACTGTGAGGACAGTTTTTAATACCCAGACTCTCAGAGTGCCACCATATATGAGGGCATTCTGGGGTCCTTGAGGGGTAGTCATCTAAAAAAGTCCACTTTGAACTCCCACAGAGTTGAAATTCAGGTTTGACAGACCTATGTTTTTGATCAGCTGGTTTCAGCAGCCACTGTGGAGTTTTGGCCAAACCCACAGGCCAGGTCCAGGGTCTCATGGTAGTTTTTACCACGAGTAAGAGCATGCCCAGTGGTCCCCCAATTGTGCAGGCTCTTGACAAGGTGCAGGGTCAAATTGCAAAAGAAAACTCCAGCGGGCCTCACATAATCCGGGGTGAGACATTGAGAGTCTCCAGATTTTGAGAGGGGCCCTCAACATCTGCAAGCTCTAGGTGTCAAGCTGTCACCTGGTCACAGATCATCCATTGGATCCGGATGTTGGATGGAGCCTTGGAGCCATCCGGTGACCAGATAATCCGGCCGGTTCGGTAGTCAGGTGGAGCAGCAGAAAAAAACAGAGTTCCGCCAGATATCCGGCGGTTATTTCATCATTTGGAAGGCTTGTATTCATAGGATGTAGATAACAAAAAATAGCAAAAAGGAGAGGTGGATGAGAAAAATAATCACTATTCTTCATCGCCATCAAGCTCAATAAGGGCAGGAAGTTTCAAAGGACCAAAAATTTGGTGCCAGTCTTTTACACATAAAAGACTCTCAATGTCAGCCCTGAGTACATATACATGTACCCAAAACTAACTTGTAACGTCAAAAATATAATGTATAAATTAAATTACATGTACATACTGAGTTTAGACTATATGTAACATGTAATACAATGTACCAAAACACTCATTACATACACATGTACAAGCAGACGCAAAAAGTTTACGTCACCCCCTGGCCCCGACTAGTGTACTAACCGCACTAAAGAGAGCGCATCTATGTATGATCAGTGACTTGACCTCCTCAGACTTGAAGTTATAAAATAACCAGAAACCACTCCAACACCAACTGTGACGATTAAATTTATTTCATTACACACATGAAGACTCGTAATCTCAGACCTGATGAGCTGGGCCGTATAGCTGGTCTCCACGAGGGGGGTATGAGTGGAAGTAAGATAGCTAAACATTTGGGGCGTCCACGAAGTACAATATCTACGGTCATCCAGAGGTATAAGAGGACTCACAATCTCATACCAGTCAAATCTTCGGGAAGGCCACCAAAGCTTTCAGTTCAAGACATTCAGCGTGTGGAGGAAGAAATCAAAAGTGATCGACGTGCATCTGCTGCACATATAACCTCTAAATTGGATCTCGATGCTAGTCCAAGTCTCATCCGCTCAGTATTCAACAAACTCGGCTACCATTCCAGGGTCCCAGCTAGTAAACCTTTCCTCAAAGACGACCACATTCAGAGGCGGCTTGAATTTGCACGCCTCCATCAACATTGGACTGTCGCCGATTGGAAGAACATCATCTGGTCGGACGAGTCTTCGTTTGAGGTTGGCAAAGTCTCCGAGAAAATTCGAGTCTGGCGCAAGCCCACCAAAAAGTACCGTAATGAATGCTTAGTTCCAACTTTCAAGAGTGGTCGTACCTCTGTGATGATCTGGGGGGCTTTTTTAAACACCACCAAGCTCGATCTTGTCTTTATGGAGCCGGGAAAACGAACTGGGCCAGACTTTGTGGGACAAGTTTATGAAGGCAGCATCCAACCTTTTTTCACCTCTGGTATGAGCTCAGATGACATGACCTTGATGGAAGATGGTGCACCGGTCCATGGATGCAAAGTGGCGAAAGAGTGGCGGGAACATCATGGCATCTCAAAGATCAAATGGCCAGCCAACAGTCCCGATCTGAATCCGATCGAGAATGTCTGGCGTCTCATGAAGAAATCTATCTCACAGAATTATCATATCAAAACAGTAGCCAAGATGTGTATAGCTTTACAAAACGAGTGGGAATTTATCGGAGATGAAATTCTCAGCTCACTTGTTGAATCGATGCCTGACCGCATCCAGGCTGTGCTTCAGGCAGATGGTGGTCATACTCGATGGTGAAAAAAATGTATGTATTTTCAATTCAAACTGATCATCCTTCACCTCATACTTACACATCCAATATCTACCTAGGTTCCTTCTGATTTGCAACACATCACATCTTTATTCTTAGTGTCTGGCTAGCTTAGCTTACTATCATGCCCTCTTGGTCAACCGACTGAGATCGAGCATAATAAAATTGCCCATTATCCAATTTTTCCTCGTTGTGTGTATTCCATATCACATCCAATATCTACTTAGGTCCTTTTTGATTCTCAACACACTATATCTTTAGTTTTTAGTGGCTCGCTAGCTTAGATTACCGTGATCTCTTATTCCATTATCTTTGTTCGTCACCACCCATTTGAAACTCGCCTAACTCGGATCGGGTGTATCAAAATCATGATTTGCCCTTTTTCTCGTTGGATGTGTATGATTGTAGCATGTTTGCAACTTATCTTCATTGCAATGCTGAGCCCTGAGAGAGGTCAACCATGTAAAAAGAATGAATTGAGAGCTATCGACCTAAATCTGATGGTACCTTCAAAGTCAAATTCGCATTACATATGTTACACAGTACACTTGTCCGGTTAGTACACTAGTCGGGGCCAGGGGGTGACATAAACTTTTTGCGTCTGCTTGTACACTTAAAACAACATGTAATATGTAACAAAACACCATTTACACCTCATAACTCAGTGTCAAGAGTTAAAATGCTTATATTACATATTATACATAACATGTATATGTAATTAAGCATTACTAGTAATAATCATTAACATATATTAATGATCAACCCTGAACCAATGTAGTGATAATCACAAATATCACCACAGTTAGGTTTAGAGAGGAAGGTATATAAACCCCTCCTCTCTCAGCCTTCAGAGAATTTCCCCCAAGTTTTTTACTACACTATACTTTTAAAGATCCCCTTTAAAGTTATATAGAAGTATATAATCAAGAGTCTTATAATATATAAGACTAGTGATTCACTTCTCTACTTTAAAGAGTTTCCTGACTAGAAGTTAGTAGTACTCCTTCCTTCTGGATCCTCTACTTCCCCTAAGTAGATCTCTCAAAGTTGGTGACTTTAAGAACAACCCCAGGCTAGTGACCTTAAGAAGAACTCA